ATTTTGTGCCAACAGTATAAAGTAATGGGTATATCTCTGGATTCTGGACCCAGGGGATCTGGTCAAATTCTAGCCAGGAAGCTGATGTTATATTAAGAAAGACATTTCACTCTAAATACTTAGTTTTGGTCATCTGCATAAATTGGAGATTTTTTCAATTGACTTAACAAGTTCAATAAAGTCACAGATACCGTACCTATGCTCCTAGTCAGTCTTGGTTTGGAACATGGGAGAAAACTGAAGCACTAAAGCACCAAAAAAAAAAATACAATTCCGAGGAGAACATGGAGAAGAAGGGCACTCCACAGAGAAAAATGTCCAATCTGAAATCGAATCCAGAACCCAAGAGAATAACCGCCACACCTCTGTGTCACCCAATGAACATGACATGATTTCAAAAAATCTTAAGATTTCAAATTTGCAAGCCACTCAGGGACACAAAGGGAAATGTGTTAAGCTATCAGTGACTTCAGAAGCACAGAGATATTAGAGTTAAAGTCTCCCAAAATCACTACTGAAGAAAGGCCAATGAGTCTCGGTGTCTGACACAGCATTTCAGCTACTGTATATAAAGTATGTTTTTCTGTAATTGAGGAAATTTATTATTAATAATTGTAAAAACTTAAAGTATTGCAAAAGTATAATAAGTAATGGATCCTGAAAATAAATTTTGTTTTATTTAAAAATAAAGCTAAAATAAATTCAGTGTAAATTAAAATTTATTTACTACATCTTTAGGACAAGCATAGAAGTTTTAGATGTGGGCATGAATGAATGTGGTTGACGATTCAATCACTGATGTGCTGGGAGAAAAAGACATGATATTTGTACAACATAGAAAAAACTTCAATGGAGTTAAAAATAGTTCTTCTTTGTTGCTTTTCATTTCTTTTCATTCATCTAAAGTAATTTTGAAAGCCATAACTGAAGTGCTGTTCGAAATAAATATTTAACCAAGTACTATGTTTTGAGCTAGAGTCTATGTATGGCTTGTATTTATGTTTTGCAATTTCATTGGAAAAACATTTTGGTTATATGATTTTCTTTTAATAACAAATACAGATGTTATTGTCTGACCATATGCAATTCAGCAGCATATTTCAGTTGTATTATCAACTAGTGACTGGGAAAGCAATCTCTTCAAATGAATTGAATATTTCACTGCCAGTCCAGGCTGGTGTTCTTCTTTTAGCAATATTCTAAGGACCAGCTGCCAAAACTGATGGCAGCACAGCACATAAACTCTGCAACCACTACTGGACCCCAGAGCTTTCTTGCTACTTTAGCTCATTTAAATATTAGTCTTTTGTCTTTCTATTCTTTACTAAAAATTGGGGCATATTATTTCAGGCAATTACCTTCTCACCTTATGAACGACAAACAACACAACCATTGGAAGAACATGTACAAATAAAAAGCACTTGCATGCACACAGCAGGAGAGTAAAACTGAAAGACAGTGAATGGATTCTGATAGCAGCATTCACTATTTTTCAGCATGAAAGCAGTAACCAGGTATCTCCGTCTTCTGATTAAGAGAACGCCAGTAGAGGGAATCTTTAGAGGCACAATTAAATTCATGAGAAAGACCATGAAGTGAGTGTAGGTACTGTATAGTGGAGATACAGGAAGTGTGACACTTTGGTAATATCTGTGATATCCTATCAATAACTAGGAACCTAGCAGAGTGTAATGCAACACGTACTGCATAGTCTTGCCATGCAAAGCAGTTAACAATAAAGCAGAATATATTGATTTCACTTCAAGCTGATCCCTCAGTGGAACAGGCAATAACCATTTCTAGGGATCACAGAACACATACACGCATATGAATTTGTCAGGTGTGTCAGAATTTTCTCTGTAAAGCAGCTTACTCTATGGCATAATAACATTTGTTTCTGATGCCCAAGGCAAGGAACCTGTATGGCTACTAAAGTTAATTAAAACCAACTTGTTTATTTCTTTCCCTAAGGCAATCTCTTCTAAAGGTTCAGCCATTAATTAGAAACATTAGAAGTTATTATTCCCATTCAAAACTGGTCTTTGTCAATATATTCAGAATGTTATCTAGATCTTTTAATAGATATTAGTGATCGATCATATAATTATTTCATGCACACTGTAAGTAAGAAATACAAAAGTCATCTGTTTAGAAGGTTAGAAATAGATTGATTTGAAAATGTGTTGGTAACTCTCTCTCTCTTAAATATAGTACTGTTAAAAATTGCTTTATTTCTTTAATCAGTTGCCTATTTATTTATACAATGATTACTCATATGTTTCCTGATGTATTAAATTATGGTGTTTTGCACTAAAAACTAAGCTACAGTACTTATACATGTATGTTTGCATAGGAACAAGTAAGAGGTTTATTCCAATACTGAAAAGAGAAGAAAGAAAACACAACGTTTTGGCCATGGAGCCTTCTTTAGGTGTGAATGTTTGCATGGTTCTAGGATGAAATAGGCCACAAGTGCAGTTGGACCTTATACTTTACAGTATGTGTGGCAGTGAACGATCAGCAATAAATGACTCATGTCACCCTATCAGCATGCAAAAGAGAAACAGAGAAAAAGTGGAATTACTTCACTATCATTCAGTTGGCTTTGCTAGGATGCCATGTTAGATTTAATGAAAAAAAAAGCTTGGCAATCTGACAAGATATAGCACTTGTATTCTGGGTGTTATATCAGGGTTTTTTTCTCTCTCTCTTTTCCTCCATACTCCATACAGTACCTTGCTTTCATGCCACACAGCAACAGAACATGTAAATCTATCCCGAACCGTTTTGCATGGAGATGAGTGGCTGCCCCCAAATCCTTTTTCCTAAGATGGCATTAAAGTCAGAGCACAGGGATATCAAATACTTTACGGAAGTACTGTCACTTTTCCTTTCTCTGCTGTAGAGATCTTGTTTTTGAAACTGAGACTTTACATCTCAATAACCTAAATGATTCCTTGACAGCCTACAAGGCTTACAACCCAGTAGGGCATCTGCAGACTGCAGGTTTGTTCAGCATGGTGCCATAATCTGGCTTTGCAGTTTTCAGTTTGCAGTTGGCTTGTGTTATTATGAATTTATCATTTGTACCACATGTATTTATATCCTGCCTTTGCTTTCCCCTTCTCCCTCCAAGACTACATCTCCTGCCTCCAAAGAAACACATAGAATAGGAAAACACGTCTTACTCCAGGGGGTTTACCTGCATGCCAACCTGAATCATCAGCAGTGGTGTCTTTTTCTCCTGCATTTACAGTACACCTACGCTCTCCTGTTCTCTCAGAAACAAAGCACATGTGTAAACACAAGCTTTGCAAAATCATCTTCACTTTTTCCTGTTTATGTCTTGCATTTTCCATCAAGGAGGAGTCAAAACATAAATTTTCTACCCATTAGAACTGAAATATCTTTCTTCCACTTAACTAACCCAACTTCAAAAGCCCTTATAAAATACAAATTGTACCTGTTCAATTGCCCCAATTAACCAGAGATGTCATGTAACCCTTTTTTTACAAAAAGTCATTTAATCTTTTTCTTTCTTCATCTCTATATAAAACAGAACTAAAATTTTAACTTTCACAGAGGAGACAAACACCTCAGAAGAAACAGCCTTGAAATATCTCAAAAACAGACATGCATTTTGACTTCTGCTGTTTGCATTTTGATTTCCAGATAGTATACACAATTGAGGGGATGTGTACACCTCAAGAGAGATTTCTTTTCTCTTGACCAATAAGTTCTAGCTCAAAACTGAGATTTGGTATGCTGCACATGTACATAAAACACCTTTACATCTCTTTACCAGATCTATGCTATCCATATTATTATACACTTAGGAAGGCACTTTACCAGGTTGCCTGGATACAGAGATTCAGACAAAGAAAATGTTTTATTAATAACACTGACCATGAACAAAAGATATATCTCACAGGAAAGTAGTTATTAAAAGTTCTGAGAAGCATACAAATAGTTTGGAACATTTTTTTTTTCATGGCATCATGTGTTTATCATTAAAACAGTGAAAAATAAATATTGTTTTTTGTTGTTTTTTTATGCTGTATCCTAAAGGGACACTTCTTATATCCACTGATGTATTTCCAAAGTAATTTAGATCCAATAGAATCATGTAATGGAGATTTAAAGATAGATCTGTAGATTCAATTTTTGCAATTGCTTTTCTGTCCATATATGCCATTGAAAAACCTTTCTGAAGAAAGAGGATTTTCCACCAGTCTGGAAAATTACAGGAACCTGACATTATACAGTATGTTGGTTTGTAGGACTAAAATGCAATATACAGTAGCAAAAAGCAGGTTCTGTCGATTTTCAGTGTGAAGTTAACCTTTACTTGTTCCTGAAATTCACTGTTAGTTGAATTACATTTCTACTTTCATTCTGTGTAGTTAGACAAGATCATATTTTTCATTACTGCTTTGTAAATTTAAGAAGCCATATACACAATTACTAATTACTAAACTAAGAAAAATCCAAATCCCAAGACATTGTATTATCTAATGCATAATATGGCAAAATTAATCTCAACCAGCTTCACATTAAAAATGGATTGGGCAAAATTCCTAACTTCTGACGATTGATTTTTATCCTATGTCTGGCATTATATTGCTCTGCTCAGATAAAAAAAAAGTATCATTATGCAGTGTAAATTAAAAATATTGTAGGCTGCTGAAGACTGTAAAATGGGAAAAGCTGTGTATGAAATATTACTGTACATGCACAGCTATGGGAAAGGAATTTTTGGGGATACTCTACAATGTATTAGTCAGATGCTAGCATCACACCGTAAAATCCCCAAAATGCAACACTCACGCATAAGAAACAACCATCTTAAGCATTTCTTCTGGACATTTTAAGGACATCTGAGCTAGTCCTTTACAAATCGATCACTGTTATAAGAAAAGGTCAACCCTGTAGAACTGTTGCTACAAGGATTGGGATCCACCAGGGAAACATTTCTTTCTCTTGGGCAGAAACGAGCTCACCTTCTTCAGTTCTCCATTTTGCTGAAGCTGCCCTGGAAGCAGGACCTGTGTCTCCTTGCCTCCCCGATCTAATGTCCATCTCTGTGAAAGCAACAGAACCGTGAATGTAACCTGGCTGTAGATATTTCCAGGCTTAATTGTTCGATATTTTAATTAACGCATCCCAAATTTCTGCAAGTTACATCAAAATGCACAGGTTAAAGAAAATCTGGATTTAGACAAATTATGCCTGTCTATAAGCAATTCATCATTATTTGCCATGTTTTTAGAAAAAAATGCATTTTTTTTTTAAATGTCTGATTTTCACTTTGGTAATCCTAGTTAAGAAGGAAAAGACACCCAAGTAATACAAATTGTTTCTCACTATTATGAAATATAATCTAATATTATTGCTATTAAAGAAAGATCTATTTTTGCCTAAAGTGTGGTGGGAGTGTCCTCAAAATGAACAAAACAAATAATTGCACAAATAATTCCAGCATTTTGTCCAAGACATCAGGATTCTTTACGTAATGCAGTATCAGTATTAATGCACAGTAAAAAGCTAAAATTGAACTCCAGACCTTATTAAACTCTCAATCACAGAAAATTGTCTCTTTTAAAAAAAAGAATATTAATCTATTCCATCCTGTGAGTTTCTGTAAAGCAGTGAAGGGCAAATAAACTCAAACAACCTCCAGGGGATTAACCTCCAGAGCCATTTGAAGAATGTACTTAACAAAAACAAAAAGAAACATGCTGGCTTTTTAGAATATAACAATTGCTCTGAATTTTGAATAAAAGTATGAGTATGAATAAAAGCTACAATTTATCAGAATATTATTTTAAAAGCTAGCCAATAGTAAAAAAATACATACAACCACATGTATTCCCATTATGGCTCAATGATGAAGATCTCTTTTAACCAGAATAATTCTTAGTCATAAATTTATTGTTTTATAAACTCATTTCATTTTGAAAGCTGGCAAATTGTCTTTTGGATTGCTAAGGGACAGCAACATTGTTTCTAGTCAGGAATGGTGCCAGCAGAATCTATTAGCAAATCCTGTGATCTGTGATGTTTCTCAGTTCTGACTGAAAACCTACTGTCACCAGGTACTGGGCTTCTGACAAGAATTCTAAACTATGCTGACTAAATGAAGTTTGTCTATGAGGTTTGTCTTCTGACCTTTTGTTCACTGGGAGTTAACCAATGACAAGAAATCTAACTTTACTTCATGCCACTGTCCCAGTTACACATACCGTCAGTAAGCCAGATACTATTTTATATTGGTCATAGTTTTTGTTTTTAAACTTAATAGTACCATAATGGAATTAACCTGCTTCTGCTGTTTCTCTTGTGCTCTTCCTTTTGATGAAAATAAAACACTTTAAAGACTTTAAAGACATACAGAAGGAACTGATTATGCACATCTTTCTTGTCTTTGGGCAAATGTCTTTTTAAGTTGCTGGGTTCTAAGTACCCATAGCATGATTGCTGGTTCACAATAAGATAACCTGATTCAGAATAGCAGTGTTTATTAAGCATTGTTTTATAACCTGGTCACCAGCCTTTAATTTAAGGGCAATAAAAAATGGAGTAAGTGTTGCTCCTTGCTAGAGTGCATGTACCGCAATATGTATTGTATTAAAATTTAATGAGATGTTTGTTTTGCAGGGCTCCCAGTCATTTAATCTGTCTTGGAGCTCCCAATTTTTTTTTTCTCTTTATCACTTTTGCAGATGAGTTATTTCTGTAGCTTTTCATTAAACGTGGCATTACAAGCTGCTAGGTGCTGTGTTACAGAACGTACTACAGTGTGTCATTTCTAAAGGCGTTCTTCCATAATAAATGGAACAGAGCCTGAAAATCACAAGCTGCCAGTGAAAAACAGGCTTGAGCTGTTTTGCTTTTCTTAATCCTGGTCTCTGGAGTGGCAGCCTCTTGTTGCCAAGATGGCACGAAACACTTAAGCTCTACACTTTAATGTGCCAGTGTTCTACTACTGAGCAAGTTCTAGCTCTGGCTAGGGAACTGGTCTACTGAAGAGAATACTCAGTGTGACATAAGCCATGTATCTTAATTATACATTTTAAAATGGTTTAAAATGGAACATGGTTCCATCTTCCATAACAAGAGAGGTGTCTCTGTCATCTGTTAATTGCACCAGCAACAAACAAAAAGAAATGTGTCTCCTCATCAACCTTCCTGTGAAGTTAACTGAACAGCTCTAGAATATGCAGAGATTCCTCCCGAGGTGAAATGTTCACCACACCTTTCTCTGTCTCAACCAGGGAAGTGGATGTTGCGAACTGATCCAGACCAAAAGTAATAAAAATGAAAGGTAAAATTAACAAGTCAATTGTTTTATATTTATACAAAAAAATGATCATCTTAGAGCCACTTCACACCTTTAACTTCTGAAAACTCTGCAGCTGCAATTCAAGAAGCTGTGACTCAAACAACAGGTCTTTTGAAAGTAGTCATTAATGAATTACTTTTCCCCTACAGATGGACAAAATCAATTATTTTATCTAATACTTTCTCTCAGCATGATATCCCTTTATACAAAAAGCCATAATCTCTTTTTCTAATTATGGTCACTCATGTAACTAAAATTTAATCATTAATTGTAACAACATGACTTTTTGCTGATTTATAAAATGTCTGGAAAATGTATGATTTTTTCCAGTACTTGTGATAATTAAAAGTTTAAACAAGCATACAGCAGTTAAGGGAAAACAGCAAGCATCTGACATAGGCTGCCCCATGCATACATGAAACATCCAGCTAGACCAACAATGGTCACTTTCTTTTTTATTATGCAGCAGATGACAAATGATTTGCTAACCACTCAGGGGATCTCATATTTGCTTTACCAGATTATTTTTTTTTCTCAGGAGGAGTACATAACTTGCTAGTTGTTGTAAATCTTTTGAAACCACAATAAACTAGGTTACTGTGCACTTCTGACTACCTAGACTTTTAACTATACATGTAATGTCAGCAGAAATATACTGTATGAGCTGCCAAGAATCCTTATCCAAGAATTTTTATCCTATGGGAAAACCATGATGCACAATATACTGTACTTCAAAGGCTTTTTTTCCAATAAATAACACACAGACCATCTACAGTATATTGAACAGAACTGGAGCAGTCTACCAAAATGAAACAAAAATGATGGTGATTTATTTGGTTCAACAATAATGACACTTTGACAGTTTAAGAAAGTAGCAAAAGAATGCTACCATATATAATCAAAATAGCATATAAAATATGAATTACATAATCCCTTTTTAAACAACTCAGAAATGTAAAGGCACTTGGAGATATTTTGGTATGAGAACCAATTGCATAAATGCTTTTATTAACCTAATCTGTTGCAAACAATATTTTAAAAACAAAAGATCCACAACACTTACTGTACCTCCGAAGGTGTAAACACCTTGACATTTGTGAATATTGATGGAAATCAACAGGATTAGCACTTAACCAAAGAAAAACTCAGCTACACTGATCATGTTTTCTGAGAAGACCACCCAGAACACCCTGTTTCAAACTATCACATAGTTAGAGAAAACTACATATATAACACAATTAGGAAGTTCAAGTAGGTAAATGTTCCTTATATGATCAAGGACAACATAATACCATTGAACAAAACTTACCAAACACACGATAAAACAAATTAACTGTGAACAAAACTACCTGAAATATCTGGTTATGATTGAGTAATTAGAACAAAAAATACATACTTATTCAATCTGACAGATGTGATTGAAGCTATTGAGAAATACACTACTGTATAGAATTACATAGGATGACATATTTGTACTTTTATCACTCTTATCAATGTCGTAGTGAAAAGCTGTTGGACCACCTATAGTAGGGAATGAACTGGTTAAAACATGAAGAGTTGAGGACTATGGCCATTTGTACTCCTAGGAAATGGATGCAAGAAAATGGATACAGTACATGGATACAAACAAAACAACAGCAAAGACAACTGCATAGTTACTATAATAGCACCTGTTCCGTTTCATTGCCACTGTAGCTGTGCTCAATATGTGTCTTTTCATATTTCAACCATTCCATTCATCACTCATCAGTGCAACTTTATTACAGCTTGTCACTGGAACATTACAGTGATAAAAGGCTGAGAGACAAAATAAGTGCTACAATGATGTGTGCAAATAAGCATAATGCGATGTGATACAAGACTTGGCAACCTTCAAAATGAATCCTTCAGATTTCTCAATAACATTATGTCTTTCTCAGTCGCATTTGAAATGTTTGTCATTTTTGTTCTAATTACTACCCTGAAACCAAAGGATTTCATTGGTACTTTTTAGAAGTCGTTTTTTAGAAATTCAAAAACTCTACATTTCCGATTTTATGGGCAGTTTAGCAGATATTTTTAAATTATGTTTTGTATTACATATACAACCGTAACTAACGTGCATTTATCTTCCTGGTTTGGTTCTTCAAAACAAAGTGTCCAAGGCACCTTTTATGAGAAAACTGTTTTTTTCTGAACACATACAGTAAGTAAAGTTCAATAAGACGCACCTTATCGCAACAGCTGTGCAGATTTTGGGGTGTGAACTTGACTAAGATACAAGTTGCTGTGTTAATGATATGCAAAAGATAATGGGATCCTTTATTATAACCATCATCATTATATGCACCCTCAGAAAAAACAAAATCTAGATTGACTGCCACTGAATATTTCTCCACTAACTGCACAGTGAACTGAAACACAGTGTAATTTGCATTCTCAGTTCTCTGAGCACAATAAGGGCAGGCTCCCAAATGCAACCCAGTATGCAGTAGCTTGCCATTTTAATTTTGCATATCAGCCTCTTTATTCCACCTTCTGTCTGCTTTCCTGCTAGCTCAAAGGGCTCAGGGAGAGGAACAGGAGGTAACAAGCCTGAAAAGGCAAGAAGAAAAATAATCAATAAACATTTGACACTAGATAGGACTCTTAAGACACAAGAAAATCCTCGCTTGTTCCTTTACTTTTATGACTGCACTCTGATCACAGTCTGATGTAGGGCAGATAGTTTCTAGCATTAAAGAAAAGGCACTGGGATCT